TAAGTTTTATAGGTGATACTTGTATAAGTACGTTGAAGTGGGAGCAATTAATATCTCCTAATGATGGCCAGGAAAATCTTCTTAGATGAATTGACAAGTGTTAAATCTTGAAAGAGTAAGTAAGTATTTTCCAGGTGGACAAGGGGTGAAAATTGTCCAGGCTGACAGAACAGTTCTAGAAACTTCAAGTAATTTAGTAAGACTGGAGAACAGAACACAGAGAAAGAAAGCAGTAGCCAGGCCACGGAAGGTCTTATATGTCATGTTAAGCATTTGAATGTTTTCGGTACACTAGTGTTATCTTTTCTGTCTTCTTCAATATTATTTGAAATTTTAAAACAGCTATTTTTATTTTTCAAATATACAGTTATTTATGAGGTTGCATATGCTTTTTAAAACTACACGTTTCCTCTCACCCAAATGCAGGAGAGTCTCATAACCTCTCTACCCCGGAAATCCCTTACAGGCAATAAGTACAGGAAGGATACATGGGAGGTATGGCAGATCCTAAACAGTGGTTCATTCAACATTCATTCCAATCCTTTTCTAGCATTTCTTTTTGTACTAGAGATTTTCCCAGACTTCCTTGAAGCCAAGGATCCAAATGTTAGCTAGATTTCACCAAAAACCCATGTCCATGTGAGGCCTCAAATGTAGAAGTGAACAATATAGGGGTGGAGACAGCACTTAAGAGCTGGAATAGCTGCAGCAGTTGGGACAGGGACTGTTGGGTCCCTGACGTCACAGGTCGAGTGGCAGGTGACAATTTCTAGTTCAGTACTGTGGCACAGTTGGGTGTTTCTCTCTACTATGCAGCATTTAAGCTTGGCGTCCCTGCTTTCCTAGAAAGTCTATACATTGCCTGATACCCTGCAATAAAACAATTTCTGCTTTAAACTAGTTAGATTCTGTTTTCTGCAATAAGAACCCTGATAGATACAGCAAGATAGTGAATGAACAGATACACATATTCTTAAAAAGTTCCAGTATGAAAGCTCCAGTATATTTATTATAGTTGGGGTCTCTAATCTTTTTAGATAGATTCACATATATTTCTGCAATAGTTCTGCAAGGACTTGTTAGCCGAGGGATTTTGTTCATTGTTGCTAGCTTAGAAACTATAGCTCTGCCCAATTTCTTGTATTTAAAATGAACTTTTTTTTTTTCCTTTTTGTCTTTTTTACTGACCGGTAACGG